TAGTTTTCCCCTTGCATGCTCGTACATTCAATGTACTGATGCCATTTGGCCGGCATCTTTTAATAATGTAGATGCAGGTAACTAGGATCAGCATCCAGCGCATCGTTGATTTTAGTTGAGTTCTGGAGTTGTTGGTGAGCCTCCTTATTTCCGGAGGATCCCTTTTATTGCTTTCAGTATGTTTAGTTCTTTAGGATATCGCGGGTCTTGTCCCGACGTCCATCTCAGTTGTTTAAAGGCTTCATATACAGTTAGTGATGTTAGTTCTTGAGTCTTTCTATTTCCTGTTTTGATGGTTGAGACTTGAGTTGCCACTTTGGCCAGTGAATGTTATTTTAATACATTGTAAGTTTATTATTGATCAGTTTAGTTTACTTTTTAAAGTACTTATATCATGAGTAAGTCTTTCGTTGAGTAAGTAAGCCAGGCCAAGGGCTCGCTTGGGGCCAGCAATGGTTCTCGAGTGTCAGTCCCGCTCAGGGTGAAGGCTCGAGGCATGACAGAAAAGACCAAAACACCCTTGATTAAAAATCATCGTACAGTGTCTACGGTTGGACCTACGATCCGTAAGACTTTCCACGGACTACCCTGGTAAACTGTAGAACTGTTACTAGGTCTTATTAATTGGCCATACTTTCATGAAACTCCTCCTACGGTTCATGGATGTTACTACGGTTCGTAGGACCTGGTCGTGAAACCCAGAAACCATTCCAAAATGTCACTAAGTCCAAACAACTTCTAGGGGCACTTCCTACGGCTCGTATGACTTATTAGGACTCGCCATGTTCACTTGAGACCACATCACAGACTTGACATTTTCAAAACCTCCACTTAACTCCCACGATTACCTTCCTATGGCCCGTAAAGCTTCCTACGGTCTGTAGGTCGACTCTTAGAAACTACTTCAATGTCCAAAAGTGCAAACCCTTTTTGTCTTCATTCATAAAACTACTCATGCATTAATGATATCATGATGGTATCATATATTGATATGATATCATTAAGATTTTTTATATTCATTCATGTACAACCAACTCATTTCTCAATGACATCAACTCATTAATATATATATATATATATATATATATATATATATATATAAAATAGCATTGTATCATTGATTATTGACCAGTCCTTCAGGGAGGAATGTAGAATTTCTCAATGATACCATCACAACATATCATATATTGACATGATATCATTAAGGACTATTTTATATATTCTGTAACACTCTTCAAATCATGTATGATATCATCACCATATATGAATATATTGTTGTGGTAGCACTAAGGTTTCCTTCATTCATTATTAATGTAAGTGTCAAAAATACACCTAAACTATCCTTTTTTTTTAGTTTCATACCTAAACTATTGAGAGTGTGAGTTTCATACCTAAACTATCACTTATTAGTTTGAGAAACACACATCTCTCTTTTATAACTCTCTCATCATGCTGTCAATATTATGATTTGAAAAAAATGAAAGGAAAAGAAAGAAAAAAAATAAGAAATATTTTTTTTAAAAAAGAAAAGAGGAAAGGAAGAGGAACAAATAAAATTTTTACCGAACAATAAAAAGAAAATTAGATGAAAACAGAAATTATGAAGAAAAAAAATCAATTTTGCTACTTTGGTAGGGGAGGGGGGAGTCTGGTAAAATATTAAGGCAATGGCTACAATAAAGATAAATATATTAAGTTGGATCCAATTTAGATAAATATTTTTCCTAATGGGTTCAAGTTATGTAGTTTTCCTTTTAAAATAAATCGATCCAAACAATTGCTTTAATTTACTATTGTCATCCCCCTTTTTACTTTGTTGCAATATAACTAGACTTAGCAGGAACTGCAACTTCTCATTCGGTTCATTCTTTATAATAACTTTTACTTTTTGTTTGACAATAGAATGCTCTCTTCAACCCAAAAAAATTAATTATAATAACTTTAACGTAATGATGTCATATGACATTGCTTCGTCCAAATATTTAATAAATACATATATTAATATTCTGAAATTGTTAAAAAGTAATATTTTTTTCGTTTTAAAATGAATGATTTGTTTTCCTTTTTAGTCAGTTTAAAAAAGAATGACTCTTTTCCTTTTTTGGCAACATTTTAATTTCAGTTTTACCCGTGGCATGTTTAAGGCCATAAGATTAAAGAACATTTTGATACATTTGATATAACATTAATTTAGGACCATAAAATTAAAAAGTCTTGTTTATTTTCTTAAACTTCGTACCAAGTCAAAGTAGACTTTTCTTTAAACAGATGGAGTATAAATTATCAACTTGTAAATGAAGTAAAACCTGCTAACCCTGACGAGAGGGAGTTGCTCGGATGGTAAGCACCCCTCACTTCCAATCTGAAGGTTGCGAGTTCGAGTTACAAAAGAAACAAAAGGGGTGGGAGCTCCTAGGGAGGGATTAAAAAAAATAAAAAATGCTAACCCTTACTGCCCTATACCCAAACTTGTGTACAATTGAGTTGTCACAATAAATGATTGGTGCAATGTTTATAATTCATTCTTCTCCTACCAACAAAACACTCACATTGGTGCAAAGTCTCAAATTTGACCACCAAAAGGCATCATGGTTCATGCCATAATAGACTAATCACCCTTTTGATCTAATATTGTATTTAGAAACCATTCTTTGACAAGGAGATACTAACAACTATTTTTTCCAGTTGACTAATAACCAAAAAACAAATGTGTGATTTCATCCTGTGATTATAAGCATTTTTAAAAAATTTACTGAAATACTTTAAAAGTGTTTAAAAATCATTTTGACTTGAAGAAACTTAAAATAAGTTAATTCAAACAAATTGTACGTATCTTGTCACATGAAACATATCTTAATATGATAGGGTAAATATTGTTCCTAAAACTTCACTAACCAGAAAATATTGAGTTGGAATAGTGTGCAGTTGATATTCTTTGCAACTTGATAGAATTTTATTCAAGCACAAAATATTCTTCTTTGTCTTCACCTACTTAGAGGTTCAAAATCATGCTTTTATGAACCTTACATCTCATTGGAGTCTTGGACATCCATATTATATGATTTTGTATGTTGATTCTTATACAACAATTAAACTAATTCAAGCAAGGGTTAGAAAAAAGAATCAAAGAAAAATGTCTTCTACATTTTTTCATACATATTTTTTATTGTTCAACTAGATCATATTATATTTCCAACAAATTCAAATGCCAAAATCTTGCTTCCTAAATATAAAATAGAATTTAACTATGTAACAAAAAAAAAACATTACTATAAATTGGTATAGATAGGAAGCACAATTTCCTCATTCAAAATCACAAAATCTTGATTCATCAAAAAATATTTCCAAGAATATAATATGGCCCCAAGTATTGATGAAAGTAATGCCTTGTTTGATTTTGTGGTCCAAAAGGGTAATGGAGTAAAGGGACTTGTAGACAATGGCATTAAAATGGTACCAGAAAGATACATACAACCACCAAAAGAGAGAATATTAATTGACAAAAAAATCATGAATTCAAATGATGATATTGATCAACTATTGGTGGCCATTGATTTATCAAAATTACATGGTCCTGAACATGATCAAGTGGTGGGAACTATTACAAAGGCTGCTGAGACACTTGGATTTTTTCAAGTGGTAAATCATGGTGTAACTTTGGAGTTATTGGAATCACTTAAAGGTGCAGCACATAACTTCTTTGCCCAACCACCTATGGAAAAGGCTGTTTATCTAAAAGAGGTGAGTCCAAGTCCTTTGGTTAAATATGGGACTAGCTTTGTACCTGAAAAGGAAATGGCTTTGGAATGGAAAGATTATGTTAGTATGATGTATACTAATGATGATGAGGCACATGCACAATGGCCTCCTCAATGCAAGTAGGAACCCTTCTTCACTTTCTCTTTAATTTGATCACTTTCTAATCCCACTTTTAATGGAAGGTTACACTCTTGTTATCAACTTAGTTTGATCTGATACGGAGTTTATAAAATAAAGAAAGATTTTTAAAAAATTTGGTCTAAAATACGTCATAAATGTTTGTGTGACTATGAATCATTTCATTAAAGTTAAAATGAGCATTTTAAAATTAAATTGTTTTCTAAATATAGAAACGGTCATTTTTTTTTAGACGGGCTAAAAAGAAAAATGAGTCATATAAATTGGGACAAAGGAAGAACAATTATAAGTGCATATAAATTATATTCTATTAAATAGAGCATATTGTCATGTGCATATTAATTCCTCAAACATTACGTGTATACTTCGTTTTAAAAAAAAATTCAATTATATACATGCAAAGTGTGAAAAATCTATCCTATTAATGTATTTTAACTTATGTAGCAGGTAATAGTATGTTATTACTTTTATATTTTATGAGTGATTATTTGCAAGTGACTAAGGATGTGTATAGTATAAAGGAAAATATATTTTTCTCATATTTGATTTGTTCATTTTCTCTAGTAAAATAAATTCTTTAAAACTCGTAAATATGACTTTCATTATGGAAGTAGGAAAACAAGCTTCATAAGCGGTGTTCCACATTAATTATCTCTTCCTCATCCTCAACCACTCCATTCCAATAATGTTTGTCTATATTATATATAATTGATTTTGGGACAATACGTTTTGCGAGTTATCACACATAAGAAAATAAGTTTATTTTATTTTTTTCACATGTTAGGGATGTGGCTCTTGAATACTTGAAGTCATCAACAAAAATGGTGAGGATACTATTGGAGATATTATTTGAAAATCTTGGAGTAACACTAGATGAAGAAAAATTTGAATCACTAACAGGGCTCAAAATGGTAAACATGAATTTTTACCCAAGTTGCCCTAATCCAGAGCTAACCGTAGGCGTCGGACGTCATTCGGACATGGGAACCCTAACTGTCTTACTACAAGATGGCATTGGTGGTCTATATGTTAAACTTGAACAAGATGTGGAAGATGAGTGGATTGAGATTCCTCCCATTCCTGGTGCTTTAGTTATCAACGTTGGAGATACCATGCAAGTAAGAATGGATTTCACTTTTATACACTGACAGCGTAAATAATTTTTTACACTATATTATGGTTTGTTGCAGTAGATAATCAATCTTATTTTCTAGGTTATTGATTTCATTTTAGGAACAATTACTTATAGTTATCTTTTTAGGTAACCATATAGTATATTAGAATAAATTTACATATATAAGTTAATCTTATGAAATTTACACTAGATTTTAACATAATCAAAGGAAATGGGGACTAATATATTTGGATTTTGGATTTAGATCTTAAGTAATGGGAGATACAAGAGCGCGGAGCATAGAGTTCGTACAACAAGTTCAGAATCAAGAGTTTCAATTCCATTGTTTGCTACACCAAAGCCAAGTGAAAAGATAGGGCCATTGCCTCAACTTGTGGAAAGTGATGGAGTTGCTCACTACAAACAAGTCTTGTTTGGTGATTACATGAAAAACTTTTTTGGAAAAGCTCATGAAGGAAAAAAATCTCTTGATTTTGCTCAGAATGATGATTCTACTTAAGTTGTATGTTTATGGGGGTTTCTTCTTCTATTTTTATTCCCAAAAAGTGCTTCAAACAAGCACAAATAAACAATTGTACTTTGTTGTAACCGTTTTGAGTTTATCTTGTCAAGTTGACTTTTAATAAATTGCTATGTGTACTAGTTTATTGAGTTTTAAAATATTCCCTCCGTTTCACAAAGAATGATCTGATTTGACTTGGCACGGAGTTTAAGTAAATAAAGAAGACTTTTGAATCTTGTGGTCCTAAATTAAAGTTATGTCAAATGTACAAAATTGCCCTTAATCTTGTGGTCTTAAACATGCCACGTGGAAAGCAAAAAGTAAAATGTTACCAAAAAAGGAAAGAGGTCATTCTTCTTGAAACTGACTAAAAAGGAAAGGAGGTCATTCTTTGTGAAACGGAGGGAGTAACAAATTATCAATAAATTGTCATTTCCTTTATCATGGCAAAATAGATTATTTAAAAAAAATAAAAATATAGTATTGCCTTTTCTTTTTCCTTTGTAGTCAAGTCGAAAGCAAAGTATAAATTTGTCAATCTATAAATGAAAGACGATAATAAAGGGTTTCATCAAATAGAGCTTCGCAAACGTTTTTTCTGTATGTGTAGGCCAACACCGCTTGAAAATAATATATGTTTTTTTTATTAAAAAAATAGAGAGACTTCAATATTATATTATTCTTAGTGTAGAGGAGAAGTTTAGATGATTATCAGTGTACCACAATGAAACTTCTGAGTTTCAATCATGAATGTCTTATGAGTGAAGATTTGTCAATATTAGATAAAGAAAATACATATACGGAATGATACAATTGATAGAAATTGCATATTTAAACAATTATATAAGATTCTAAGCCACCAAATTAAAGATGTTAAACATGTTCCTCTACTCTAAATCTTATTCATTTGATCAAGAAGGCATTAGACCATGCCTACTAGAGCTTGATGTTCACACTTAACACACAATCAATGGATAGTGCTAGTTGGCTATATGAATTTACAGATAAATTCTACCAGACATGTTAGGACAATAATATCAAATGTGACATTACTTCTATCGTTAGATCCTTCTTTTGGAGAAGGATCTACCCAGATGGTGTATCCATGCTAATCAAGTGGTAGTCCCCAAAGATAAACAAGTAAATACCTTTTTTGATGTAAGGCAAATAGGTCTGAGCAATTTAAAAAACAAGATGATTTCTAAGGTTCTTCATAAGTTTTTTACTTGGATTAATCTCAACTAAATAGGTTGGCTCTAAAAAAGGGGAGAGTATTGTGAAAAAATCTTACTAACATAAGAAATATCATACTTAGAACCAAAACAATCAATGTAGTAATGAGTGACTAACCTTTCATGTAAGACTTTATTGTATATAATCTTGTTGGCAAATCATACCATATCATATATTTATATAAAAGCGAACCCTAGGCCCGCCTACGTGGCGCCACCACAAGCTAGAATTTCCTTTTAAATTTATTTATTTCCAAATATAGTCTTCCCCATTCATGAAAAGATGTGACTTTTATGAAAAGTTGTGACTTTTATGAAGAGTTGCGACTTTTATGAAAACTTACCAAAAAAATAGTCATCCCCTTTCATGAAATGATGTGACTTTTATGAAAAGTTGTAATTTTTATAAATAGTTGCGACGACTTTTATGACAAGTTACGACTTTTATGAAAAATTGTGACTTTTATGAAAGGTTCTGACCTTTCCGAAGGGTTATAACTTTTCCAAAGAGTTGTGACATTTCTGATAAGGCACAATAAGAATTTGTTCACACTATCTTTGTTGTCTATAAATATAGGGATTTCCTCTCATTTCAAAACAACGAAGAACTTTTCTTCTTCCTTCTTATGCACAATTAAATATTCGAGTACTTTGCTCCTGTTGAGTGGCTCATTGACACCATTGTTTTTGTATCAATATACTTGTGAATAAAATTGTTCCATCCTGAGAGGATCTATTCCATTAAACCTCGGGTACTAGAGGGGAATAATTTCCTTAAGGGGACACTGTGCATTGAGTGGGCTCAATTTTTTCCTTTCTGTTTCATTCTATTGTAATAGATCCTGATATTATTTTTTTACAGTCATTAATTTATGCTTATGATATTAATTGTTGTTTTTAGTACATGTTTTAAACTTTGTTGTTTATGTTTCTGCAAAGTTATTGTTATAAGTATTTGTTATTACATATAAATATTATTTATTTATTAGAAAATATAAAATATCTCTTGTGGATGTTCATCTTATTTTCCAAAAATATCAAATAGTAACACTTCTTGGAGGCAAAAGGATAAATTACAAAATCAAATTAAAGATGATTGATTGAAGGATAAATGATGAGATGTTATAATTATTATTTTCCTTTACATTATTAATGTACGTTACTACGTAATCTTGTATGTAAGATAATATAGTGTTTTAGTTTTAATGACTGAATAGATTTACAAGTATTATTTTATAAATTTTGTGATATTAAATTTCCGCGCGAAGCGCGGATAATTTTACTAGTGTATAAAAAAGAGAACCCAAGGCCCACCTACGTGGCGCCACCACAAACAAGGATTCTCTTTTAATTTATTTATTTCCAAAATTAGTCTTCCATTTTATGAAGAGTTGTAACTTTTATGAAGAGTTGTGACTTTTATGAAGAGTTGCAACTTTTATGAAAAGTTGTGACTTTTATGAAAGGTTGTGACTTTTATGAAAGATTGTGACTTTTTCAAAGAGTTGTGACCTTTCCGATAAGGCACATTAATCATTTGTTCACACTACCCTTTGTTGTTTATAAATAGAGAGATTTTCTCTCATTTTAAAACAATGAAAATTCTGAACTACTTTATCTTCTTCTTCTTCTTCTTCTTCTTCTACACAATTAAATATTCGTCTACTTTGCTCATGTTGAGTGGCTCACTAACACCATTGTTTTTGTATTAATACACTGATGAGTAGAATTGTTCTATCCTGAGAGGATCTATTCCTTTATACCTCGAGTACTAGAGGGGAATAATTTCCTTGAAGGGACAATGTGCATTCAATGGGCTCAATTTTTTCCTTTTTGTTTCATTCTATTGTTCAGATAATGGTATGTTTTTTTTACAATCATTAATTTATGCTTATGTTATTAATTGTTGTTTTGAGTACATGTTTTAAACTTTGTTATTTATGTTTATGCTTTTGATCATTATGTTGAAGTAAAGATATGTTAATCAAGAGTTTGATGTAATCATTAGATTATTGGTGTCATGTAGATTAAAATTCTTAAACATGTAAAATAAATGAGTTTGATCTTTATAGAGTTTTCAGTGGCTAAAAGATCAATAAGATGTCCAAGAAGGGACTTTTGAGTGTTCAGAAGTTATGGTGGTTCCACATTACAATTGAGTTTTAGTTATTAAACTTTCTATCTTATCGAGGTTTTCAATCGATTATTGAGATCGAAAAAAAACAGGAATGTAGTGGGATGGTAAGTATTGTACTCAACCTTAATAAAAAATTGGGGGTTCAAATTTCGAATTGGAGTCAATGAATTACCCCTCAAAGTAGGATGAATCCATATTAATCAAATCTTAAAGAAATAATAATCTCCTTATAAACATTAGATTAAAAGTCCCAAAAAAATTAAAGTTTTAACCATATTGATCGAAACATAAACAACAAAATATGTCTTTTGGCTCTCAAAGTAGTGCAATCGACTGCGAATGATTTTGAATAAGGGACTTGTCAAGACATCATTTAATCCAAATTATTTGAGCGACATACATTATTTCATTGAACTCCAAGGCATATGTTTTAAAATTTTAATTAACTTATCAAGTATACAACTAATTACATAAGATGTATAACATTTGGGTTATGTATGTAGAGGCCTTGAATAGAAGAAAAACTCTCGCAATTGATGAATAAAATGTTTGTACCACTTTTTGAAAATACAAATATAGACAATGAAACAATTAAATATCTTTACTAAACACCTTGGTGATGAATAACTAAAATAAAATGAAGAATTAATAACAAAATGCATAAACACTTAGAATCAAATCTTTTTGGTTTTAAGATTTAAAAAATATTTCGTTTCATCTCTAGATAAAATATTCTTGACAATTTATCGTAGGATTGTACCCACTCGAAAACACTTATATTATCAAATGTTCAGAAGTAGATTATTAACATAGTTTACCACCGCGCGAAGCGCAAGCAATTTACCTAGTAAGCTATAAAACCTATGACCTTAAACCTCCAAAAGTATTTGTCACTTTTTTTAGACAATAAAATCAGATTGGTGCGAGTAATGAACCTTGATAAATTTTGCTAAAACAAAATACTTTCACTGTTATTGTCACATCTTTTCCTATCATCTCCCAACAAGTTTAGCAAAAAACATATTTGAGAAGGCTTCTGGTCCAAATGCACTATTATCTTTTTTTAAAATATATTTTTTTTCATTTCATCTCTTATGATATTTCGACATAAGATCATAATTGATCTTGATCCATTGACCTTTTGCTTCCCCTGTGCTCCGATAGGGGTTTTGTCTAGGGTTTTAGAGAGAGCTTCTTTGGAATCATACAGGTTTTGCTGAATATATAATGCTATTAAGTGTACCTCACCTTCACAAAAATTAACTTTGAAAATGCATATATTTAGTCTTTATTTAAAAATCAATCTTGAAAAGGAAGTAAAATTTTATAAACAAACATAGTTCCCAAATCAAATCCATTGACAAGACGAATTGTCACAATAGGAGGCCAGTAGCTCTTGGCAATATCCTATTTATGCCACCAAAACTATTCAACTCATCCCTAAAAAGAATCAGTATGTAAAGCCAGTCCAGTATAATCTAAGGTTATTTTCTGTAACTGTTGTGAACTCAATTTGCGTTTGCACTGAGAAATGCAGGCTCTTAGAAAGAATACAAAGACAAATGAACCTCCTTTTGGAGAATTAAGTAAAAGTTTAGAGGTAAAACTACTACCCTAAACCCTGTAAAGTTTCATCTTGAAAAGGACAATCACTTCCATTTTCAGTCGAAAAGTTGGTTCTGAGAAAAATGATGATTATTAATACAAATCTTGAACCCTGGACAAACTGATGGATGCATAATTTCAATAATGATAAGCAGGGAGAATATTGTGGATGGTGCACCTCCTGGAAGCTGTACAAGCAATACCATTGCTAAAGCACAGTAATGAAGGGATATGGATGCTAGAGACACAAAGGAATGATCACCAAGTATACCACGTGAACTGACAAGTGAAAAATATCAACGAAAATCCAGAATTGTAAGTCAGTCGGTGTAGATACAGTTGCATCCACTACTTATGACTTACACCTCCACAAAGCATAAAGTTAACGGCTGTATTTATACCACCTCCTTCATTTGCCCAAGGATCTAGCTGGGGTCGAAATCAACTTCAGTGAATCATTACTCAGGTCAGACAATATGTTCTTCCATGATTCACACATAAAGCAAATGGAGCAATCCTCACCTGCCTCTACATACACTCCTTTGTACACTTCCAAATGACATGCGGTCTGAAACCTTGCCCTCTAACAAAGACTTTACACATTCATCTAAAGCTCATCCCCCGCCAATATCTTCCTGCTGCACTTGTTAGAATGCGCAACTGAATTCTAGTTTGGTAGATGTGTATAAGCATGTGAGTGAGATTTAGCTGGTTCTTCTAAGATTGCCTTCAGAGCAAGGAGAATCATATGCACCTTGAAATGACTTGCCTGTTTGTGAAATCACCAGGAGCGACGAGTGCTGCTTCCATAGAAGAATATAATGACTTGTTAGAACAGAAAATCAGCATCATATTGATATGTATGCTTCTATTAGTTACATGTTTTCCAGCATACTGTTTAGAGAAAAGCATTGTCTTAACAAGATAAGCAATAAACAATGATTGTACCAGGTTCCCAGAGACTACAAGCATTTCAAATTTTATTCACTTCTTTTAAAATTGTGATCCCTTTGAAACAGTCTCAGGGTAACTTGGGCTTTGACTGTAAAGAGATAGGTTATATTTTCATACAGATAAAGCAGTTACTGCCTCTACAGGAACTGCAGTTAAAAAAACCACAGGAAGATTCACAAGAAACTGAAGAAAGGTGGCAGGACTGAAGTCTACATCTGAATGCCCCTCGTCTGCTGGGTTGGTGGCTGCTTGGACTCGTCATTGTCCATAAAATATCATTGTCTTGTGTATTATGTATGTAATAGTAGAAGTAAACATTAAAATAAGATTGGCCAAAGGTTGCCAATACAGAAAACGTAACATCAAATTTGAATTTGATTAATTATTTGAAATTCTTAAAACTTTTGAAAATAGTATATAAAAGACATAATAAATGGCATGGTGTAAAACAGTCTGCAACATAATGTGAAGAATAATCTGAAGACAACTGCAGTCTTTTTATGAATTGCAAGGTCATATTTCAGCTTTGGTGCATGTATTTTTGCAATTTTTGGCCTTCGCTGGTCCACGTCCAACTCCACTCTAGACCTACTGCATTTCTGGAAAGAAAGGGAGTGAACAAGAAGTACCTGAAGAGTTGGAAAACTACACCACACATCATCTGGAGGACTATTTGGCTTGAAAGAAACAGTTGAATTTTCTAAGGCATAAGGACAAACATACTTAGCCTTGAACAAAGATGCTTTACTAGTTTTTTGGTGCAACTTGTCTCTTGTAAATGATGTACATGCAATGTTAGACATGATAAGGGAGTCACATGACTTGTAATTTCTTTTTACAGAACCGGCTCAGTGCAAGTTTGCCATCTATGAAAAAATTCATTATTTATAGAAAAAACATTCTGCAATATATCAAAATAGAACTAATGTAATACAAATAGGGACAAAAAACTACGATAAAATGACATGAGGTGCAAAGGCTTCATATATATAGAAGTATTTTGAGAATAACCAGAAAATAAGGTCCATCAGGTAAGGTGAATCAGTATACAGACCTTGGTTCCAACCACAATGGTTCCACTTGAGGGATGAGTAATACATGCAGTAACACCTTCAGTTGTTGGAATGAATTGATTTTGCTTCTGCGGGCTCTTTACTCCGTAAAACTCTTGCATCTCTTCACTATAAGAAGAATACCCTCATTTAAGCAATATTCTCAAAGCAAAAATGAACAACATTGAGGGTGTGTTGGGTATGGAGTTGGTTAAAATGTTTTGGAAAACATTTTCTCTACGAAAACAAGTTCTTTTAAAATGAGGAAAATGACTTCTCTAATGAAAGTAAGGAAAACAAGTTCTATAAATGATAATCCAAGTTCATTGTCGCTTCCTCACTCACCCAACATCCCAACCCCTGCCGCTTGACCATCCCACCCCCTATTAACTATCTTATCTTCTGTCTATTTTTACTAAGTCATAGGATATATTATAATTTTATTCATCTCTTGATACTATTTTATTATAGTTTGAATGTCTCCTAATGCTATGGAGCTTATCTAGAAGTAATTATTAGTTCCTATTGCGTAAGCGGATAATTGCCTATACTTTAGCTTAAGTTTAGTAGATAGTTGCCAACACGTTAGCTTAAGTTTAGTAGATAGTTGCCACTCCTATCATGAATGACGAGTCACCCTATCAAAAACTATTTGGTAGATCTCCTGAGTCCTAACTATACCACCTTAAAAAAAATTGGTTATCTCTATTACCCATGGCTTAAACCTTATATATACCAAAAATAAAATTGAACCCCGATCCACCCCGTGTGTGTATTTAGGTATCTCTCAAGTTCACCATGCTCATATATGCTTTGACCCAGTCCAGTCCAAAAATATGTAAGTCATGATGTCTAATTTTTTGAAAAAGAATTCACTTCTAAACAAATGTTCATCCATTTACGGAAATATACTTCCAATTAAGTTGGGAAGTTATCGACTCCAATGAGAACAGTCCAACAACGATTCAAACTCCTCCTCTCTCTATTCCGTCACTTATCTCAATCCCTGTAGAGTCCAACTCTAAAAATACAACCTATTCCCCTAGCGATGCTCACTCCTACAACAATGGCCAAGTATCAGGAAGAGACATCAGGTAATCCGCAACTCCCTGCCCCTTCTTCACAACTTCGTGTCCCTTCTTCTTCACACGACACTGCTAGTTGCTACACATAAGCCTCTACTCACATACTGTAATGACCCACCAGGTCATTTCTGTGTTATTGCCTTCTTTTCATCGTTTAGACCGTTCCTATAGAGACCCAAGTCATTTAGGACTTGCTGGGACTGACAATTTGGTCACATGGTTATTCGTTTCGATTCTGTGCAAGTTTTCGTGTTTTGGAGCTTTTGAAACTTGAACAATTGACTTCGGTCAAAAATTTAGGAAGACGGCCTCAAAATGCAATTCTAACGATTCTGTTAGCTCCAGAACATCGAGTTAGTCTAGAAGGACCTTTCGTGCGGATTTCGAGGCTTTCGAGCTAATCTTGAGCCCCTTTGTGGAATTTGGCTTAGAGTGGAGCTTGGGTGTAGGACTCACTTTTTGTCGAGACAACCTTGATTGAAAGTTTTGACGGATTCGTTGAGTTCGGAATGTCGAATTTGGTAAGGTAGCATATTTTGTTTGCGCGCACTGGGTTCCGAACGAATCCCGAGCACCCCGTTGGAGATTTTGGCATTGGCCAAAACCAGCTGATGTGCATTAACTGGTGCAGACATATTTAACCTTTGCGTTCGCAAACTTCTAGCCGCATTTGCGGTAGCCAGAAGACTTTGTCTCCTCGTTTGCAGGCTTCTGGCCGCGTTTGCAGTGGCCAGAAGACCTTGTCTCCTCATTCGTGAGGCCTTAGACATGTTCACGGAGGCCAGCATGGTTGCCTTCCGCGTTTGCGGAGGTTAGTGAAGTTACACTCCGCGTTCGCGAGCCAGCCGTCACGTTCGCAAAGAGTAAGGCCCCGACCCTCTGCGATCACAGAAGGTTTCCCCGCGTTCATGTGAAGCTTTTGTCCAATCTTTTAAATAAAGACCAGACGCATATCAGCTTAGTTAGGAAATTTCAAACTCGAATATCTTGAGCTACAAAGCTCCAAATTAGGTGATTTCAAGTCGTGGGTTTTCGGAAGGCTCGTGGCTACGCGTTATAGTGATCAAGGATTGCCAGGGACTACTTGTTTGAGATATACTCCCCCCTAAAGGGACTTCCAGCCCTCTTGATGTTGCTTAAATTGGTGTTTTATTGCACGTTGTTGATTATATATGTTCCAAACCCCGAATTGGGTCCCGTTTTGGGATACAAGTTGGAGAGCTTGGATGGACCTTTTGACGAAGTCAATTCTAGGATTTCTGACGCGGGTCACACATTCTCATTTTGACTCAAACTTTGTCTGTCTCTGATTAATGTGTTTTTGATGTCTAAACGACCGCTTTGACGTTGTGATCCTATTTTTGATAGTGTGGCAGCATTTGGAGGCCATATGAAAAGAACAAGCTTTAGGGTTGTGAATTTGGAGCACGTGCGGTCTGCTTTGAGGTAGGCTATTGCTTCCCAACCTTTAGATTGAGCTCGAGAATGTAAATGCATGTTGATTTGTGTGAATTTGGGTTGGGTGGTTAGTCGATCATGCTTACTTACTCAGAAATCATGTTTTACACTTGCTTCGGGTTATTTCGGGACTCGTTGGCACGTTGCTCTTCTTTTTTGACCATCCCTACCTTGTGGCTCGATTGGTACTTTTTTCTACTGATGTCGGAAGCATGTTTTGGCCTTAGTCTAGGTGTAGACTAGTGTTTGCCTTAGACTAGCTGATTTTGAAACTGATAGGCCTTAGTTCTGCTTTGACGTCGTTTCGAACGGCTAAGCTCCCTATAGAATGATGTAGGAGACTTAGGTCTGATAGAATGAGCCTTAGATTAGGCGATAACTTAGCTTTGATGACCTTTTATCCATAACTCCCTCTTTCTACCGCCCTTCGATTTACGATTAAGATTTCGGGCCTTGCTTCGCGCCGTGGGATTGGATTCAGTTTAGGCTTGGAGTACTATATTGATTACCTTGGTATGGATGTCGTTCCACGATGGTACTATGATGATGATTTGGCATGGTAATCTTCAGCAGCTTTATGTTTGCAGATTCAAGGTCTGGTCACGCTGCTCTATTATTGGTCACAGATTCGAGGTCTGGTCATTTGATCTACAGCAGCAGTCCATGATTCGGAAATCTTTATCCTCTACAGAGTTAATACATATCGGCTAGATCCTATTGGTTCTTTTGGAGGCCTATCCGCGGTTCAAGGTTCGAGCTACGCACTTTCTAGCTTTGGATGATCCTATTGGTTACTTTGGGAGGTTATCCATGTTTCGAGGTCTGGGCTATGCACTCTCCAGCTCTGGATTCACCGGGTTCTGTTTTTAGTAGGTATAGCTATTTTGTGTACCCGTCAGACATTTGGAGGTCCATTCAGGTTTTTATTTAAACTTCACACGAGTGTACCTCCTAAGCTTATGGGTCCAGTTAGGTTTTAGTTAGTTACTTACTTCATTTCAGTCTTTTCTACACTCGTGTGCATTTCTGTTAGATTTCTGCTCTTTGATCTTTGTTGTAGTAAATTCTTGCTTTTCATATTACCTTTACTTTTCTTGCTCAGTCGGCCTATGATGCCTACTGAGTACCAAATTTGATACTCATGCTACACTCTGCATCTGTTTTGTGATGCAGGTTCGAGCACCAGCTATCAAAGTTGAGATCGAGCCAGCAAGCGTAGTATCTGTAGGTGAGGGTGAGCACATGGTTGTCCTGGATCATACCTGTCTCCATCTGTATTATTTGACTAGTCTTTCGTGTTTTGAGACCAGTCTGTTTGTTTTGGTCCACTTTTGAGACTTGTACTATTTCATTTAGTAGCTCTGTACTTGTGACTTCTAGGTTCTAGGAAGGATCTTTTGGCTTTATGTATATATATGTTTTGCTTCCGCTCTATTCTCCTGTTATTTCTGTTAAATTGTTTATTCTTGTTTAGTTTCTACCCCTATAACCATTACTTGACATTTCGGGTTACGGGTTGGCTTACCTACTGGTGGGTTATAGTATGTGTCATCATTACCTTAGAGATCGGGTCGTGACACATACCAGAGATGCAAAACCATAGCTAGCAACCTACAATCCGAACAGCCAAAGAAGCCACTCCTCCACCCTTGTCAACCCAACAAAATCCAAATCCCAAAAACCAAGCAGTTAAGCCCTCTCCTTCTATACATGCTGCCCTGATTCCCCCACCACCCCCAAACCGTATTGTAACTAGGTCACAGAATAATATCTTCAAGACAAAAAGAAAACTCTCTTTTCTGACACATTTGACTCCTACACTTGTAACTTTCAAACAAGCCAATAAACATGAAAAGCGGAGACAAGCCATGAGAGTAGAGTATGATGTTTTAATAACCAAACCATAAGATTGGTGCTATCTATAGTTATGCAACACAATTGGCCAATCCATCAACTTGATGTCAATAATGCTTTCCTACAAGGAAAATTGGATGAAGAAGTTACTATGCCTCAACTCTGGGGATTTATTAATCCCCAATTTCCAACTCATGTTTGCACACTGAAGAAGGCTATTCATGACCTCAAACAAGCCCCCCAGGCTTAGTAAAATATTCTGAGTGAACATCTGCCGAGAATGGGCTTTGTCAAAACAAAATCTGAAACCTCTTTATTTGTATGGAAGCATTTGGATGTAACTATTTATGTGCTTGTCTATGTTGACGACATCATAATCACTGGAAACCATACACTAGTTATTAAATTTGTCATCAGATTCTTCGTAGAAATATTTTCATTGAAGGATTTTGGCTATCTGAACTACTTCTTGGGTGTTGATGTTAAGAAATTACCGAACGGTCTCATTCTTTCACAATCAAAATACATTTTGGGCATTCTTTCTAAACTGGATATGGACAATTGTAAAGGTGTTTGTGTTTCTACTCCCATGTGTTCCAGCGTACCACTTTGAGTATGCTGATGGTTCTCCACCTACTGATGCCACGCGCTACCAGTGCACACTTGGAAAATTGCAGTATTTGTCCCTCATTCGTCCAAATATTTCTTATGAAGTCAATAAATTGTCACAATTTATGCATGCTCCTACTCATGAACATTGGAAAGCGATTAAAAGAGTATACGGTATCTCAAAGAAACTGCGAGTTCGGGACTTTGCATCCTTCGCAGCTCTGACTCTAATTTGTATGTGTATGCTGATGTGGACTGGGATGGCGATCCGAATGACAAAATCTCTACATCATGTTACATCCTTTTCTTTGGACCAAATCCAGTCAGTTGGTCGTTAAAAAAGCAACATGATGTGGCCCCAAGGCCTAGCTCAAGTGGCAAAAGGTGGAGGATTTGTGGCTTAGGTCGCAGGTTCAAGCCCCACACCATGCAAAGCGAAGCCTGGTATTTAAGTGGAGAAGGGTAGAGGGGCAGGCCCATTATCCACCGAGTTTAGAAGGCTGTGATTGGTCCAAAGGGCGGGTCACAGACGGATTTCTCGGTTATAAAAAAAAAAGCAACATGATGTGGCTCGCTCATCCACCAAGGCAAGTATAAATCAGTCGCCAATGCACTTGCAGAGCTCACTTGGGTGAGAAACTTACTTCATGAGTTACATGTCACGATTTCGAAGTAACCAACAATCTACTATGACAATGTTAGAGTTACTTATTTATCTCACAACCTAGTGTTTCATACCCGTATGAAACATATTGTTGTAGATTTTGCATATGTCCATGACCAGGTTCAAGCTCATTGAGTTCATGTTACTCATACTCATGCTTGTGATCAACTTGTTGATACCTTCACCAAGCCACTGCCTAATCAGCCTTCACTAGATATCGTTCCAAGTTAGGCATTGTATTTTGTTACACCATGCCTAACTTGAGGGGGTGTATTAACTATCTTATGTGCTGTCTATTTACACCAGGTCATAGGATATTATTTTATTCATCTCTTGTTACTATTTTATCATAGTTTGAACAAGTCTCCCAATGCTTTGGAGCATATCTAGGAATAGTTTTTAGTTCCTATTGTGTGGGCAGATAGTTGCCTACACTTTAGCTTAAGTTTAGTAGATAGTTGCATACACTTTAGCTTAAGTTGGTTGTAGTTCATGTATTTAATGTTGGATGACAGATTCAATAAGATGATCCCTTTGACCTCCTCATCTGAATCTTTATACCCACCCCTGAACCCCACCTCATACCATTCCCACCGTGTTTAGTTAGATTACATATAAATACTCTTGGGATAATATTTATTTGCTTAATTACCAAACACTAGAAAATAAGTAAAAATTCTATTTGTTTTCCAAGAAAAATTTTAACACACCGTGAATCCCCCAGATTTTGTCAATTTGGCCAGTTAAGAATCTAAGTCGAAAAGAAATCATATGTAAGGATCTGCATCAAGTACGTCAAAACTAGAAACAGAAAATCAGAACAGTCCACTATGGCCATCAAAGAAATCATATGAAAAGATCTGCATCAAGTACCATGAAAGTAAAAAAACAAAAAAAAAACTCAACAGTCCACTATGAACATCTAATGTAAATATGTCAAAGGAAATAACAGAAAACTGAAAATTACTTGAAATCCACATGGCAAGGGGAGCTTCGATCTGGATAGAAATCCAAAAGATAGAGCCCATTACTTGACAATGATCCAACCACATAAATCTGCAGCAAAAGAAATTTCAGTAGAACATAAGAACTCACATTGCAGCAAAATATTCTACTTGAAGCAAACAGATATGTAAATTGTTATAGAATGTTCATAGACACATCTTCATATAGTATACATAGGTATAGCTATTGATAGATTTTCTGATTTTGTTTCCTCAGATAGTTTAACTTGTACAGAGGAGGCGTATCCAGAATTTCGGGATGATGGGTGTGTTGACTTGTACAGAGGCATATCCAAGATTTCGGGATGATGGGTGTGTTGACTTGTACAGAGGCGTATCCAGGATTTAGGGATGATGGGTCTGTTGAAGTGTGTGGTCATCTCATCTAAAAGCTTGAGTTGTTAGAGAGAGCACATTTTTATAAGTTAATTATATTCTCAACACACCCCTTCACGTGCAGGCCTGATTCTTTTTCGTGGGTCAAGCACGTGGAATTTTTTTTTGATATGGGTGGTGGTGAGATTTGATCCCAGGACCTCTACCTGCTCTTATACCATGTTGAAGTATGTGACCAACTCATCTAAAAGTTTAAGTTGTTAGAGAGAGCACACTAATATTAGTTAATTATATTCTCTACAGGGTGCACTATTACAAATAGGTGGATCTAAGATATAAATTCGATCGATTTGACATTTAGGTTCTTATTACTAAATATCGTTTAAATTGTGTGTGTGTGTATATATATATATATATATATATA